CCATTGCTCCTCCTAAATCTGAGGTTCGACAATCTGACGGACCCTCCTCTCTAGAACCCATTAATAGACCTTAAAAGGGAGGCTCAGGAGTGCGATACCCCTGTAGTTGGAACACACTCTGCAGTCCCCCTTTTTAAATAGGGGAACCACCATCCCGGTCTGCCAGTCCAGTGGGACTGCCCCCGATGTCCACGCGATACTGCAGAGCTGCATCAGCCAACACAGCCCCACAACATCCAGAACCTTAAGGAACTCTGGGCGGATCTCATCCACCTCTGGGGCCTTGCCACAGAGGAGCTTTTAACCACTTCAGTGACCTCAGCACCAGAGATTGAAAAGCCCAACTCAAAGTCCCCAGACTTTGCTTCCTCACTGGAAGACATGCCGGTGGGAGTTAGGAGGTCTTCGAAGAATTCTGCCCACCAAACCACAACGTCAGCAGCACACCGTAACCACTATAAATAGTGTTGGTAGCGCACTGCTTTCCCCTCATGAGGTGCCGGATGGTGGACCAGAATCGGAAGTCTTGCTCCATGTTCTCACCGAACTCCTCCCACCTCTGGGTTTTTGCCTCAACAACCACCCAAGCCATCATACAGATAGATTAAATTATTAATGCAACAATTACTGATCTGGTGTAAATCAAGATCTGAAATAAATTTTTCAGGAAAAAAATTCTTTTAACCCATCATTCACTAATGAAAAGTATATGACACATTGTTGAAACACTTTGGATTTAAACAAACTGTTAATTCAACAAAATATGATGATTATTATTATTATTATTATTATTTATTATTAGTGTTATCATAGAAGTTTTAAAGTCATTTATGCCAGGGAAGATAGATTTTATTCAAAGAGGTGTTAAGTATGTGTTCCTAGGTGAATAATAAAAGACAATGAAAACAGTTGTTCAAAGTTAAACCCTGACAATTCATTTCTAAGCCACAGAAAATGATAAGAGTTTACAGGATCCTGGGTCGATCACCGTCCAAGTCTCTGTCCACCATACATCACCTTCAGAGGACACTTTGGGAGTTCAACTGAAGCCTGTCTCCTGACCCAGGGCTTTATACTATTGCAATCACTAAGGGAATGTGGTCTCCTCCCATTGGTCCGCTGGTGTCCGTCTTTCTAGATGAAAATCACCTCATTTCCAGGCAGTCTGATAAAATATGTCAAAGGCATTTTAATATATGTGAAGCATTAGTTGTCAAATCATGGGGAGTAAATAAATGGTGGTTTCATTATATAGCATGCACGAATAAGCATTCTTTATTCAGTTATATAGAATAGGAGACTCCAGAATAAGAGACATTTACTACTTTGATTAAATGATTTTCACACTTAAGTTTTGGAAAGACATCAGCAGTTTTGTTAATAAATTCTTGTTTGTGTCATGACTCCCATCCTTCACCCTCCTCCGCTTCCTCATTATACCTTCATTCAGCTCACCTGGTTCCTCTCACCAAGCTCCAGCCAAGCCCTGCTTTCCCCAGCAACCTCTGTCAGCTTCAATCAGCTCCATTCATTCCACCTGCTCCTGTAATCAGCCTCATCCCATTCACCTGCTTCCCCTGCTATAAAAGAACCAGCCATCCAGTCAACCGGGGCCAGATTATTCTGTCACGCACTGAACTCTGAAGACCCGTGAAGATGCCAACACAGTAAAATTATATAAAAAGTCTTTATTTAAAGCAGAGGTACCTGGAGGGCAAGGCTGAGGCAGGTTCAGAGGCAGGCTAAGGTCAAAGTGGCAGGCAGAGAGCAAGGCAGGGGTCAGGCAAAAAACAAGGTCCAGAGGCAAAGATCAGGCAGGGTGGATGGCTGGAGAACTACTGGCAAGGCTGTAATAATCTGGCATCGGTTGACTGGATGGCTGGTTCTTTTATAGCAGGGGAAGCAGGTGAATGGGATGAGGCTGATTACAGGAGCAGGTGGAATGAATGGAGCTGATTGAAGCTGACAGAGGTTGCTGGGGAAAGCAGGGCTTGGCTGGAGCTTGGTGAGAGGAACCAGGTGAGCTGAATGAAGGTATAATGAGGAAGTGGAGGAGGGTGAAGGATGGGAGTCATGACAGTTTGTTACCACCTAAATGTTTTCTTTCTAATTGTCATTTGTTAATAAAACACCATATTATCTTTGTTTTGTAAAGAATGTGAAACTACATAAAACTAACATCGGACTGCCAAAAGAGACAACAGTTCTTCTATGTGAAGCCACTTCTGTTTCTATTAATGTGGAATTCCTCCGTATATTTCCTTAGTTGTTATGTAAATTCATTCATTCATTCATTCAAAATGATGCTTGGTGTCTTTTAAATAAAGTTCTTATATTTAATTTTGCCCCATTTCATCAAAATCAAGAGCTTTTGACAGTCACCATTTATCAGTTGATATCTTTGCTTTATTTTACATTTACTTTGGAAATTCATTTTCTCCGAAAAGTGTTGATTTTTGGACTACAGGACTACAACCGCTAAGACTACAACGTAAATTCTTTCCGACCAATCAAGACCTTCACTGTCAACGTGCTAACGTAGCTTTTACGAACGTGGTATCGTAACATCCATAAGCCTTACGTTCAGCCAATCATGTGTCATTTGCAGACGCAGGACCCCGAGCCGATCTTGCTGCCTGAGCAGATCTGATACCAACAACGGAACATCCTATTTTTGCCAATAAGAAGGAGTCAGGGCCTGTGTCAGCTGTTAAAAATATTGAATATGTAAAGAAAAAAATTAAACATTTTTTGAGACCAGAGGTCCTGCAATCTGTCGTCTCTGTGAAATGGTATGTTCTCAATGGCAACAAGTACATTACTGGGAAGTCAATGATTATTGCAGATGGGATTGGCACTTTCCTGGTGTTTGGACTGAAAAAGGATCTGTTTTTGATCAATTTGTGTTTTATTGCATTTGAGTACCAGCCATGGACGTAATTTTCACTTTAGAAGTGGGGGGGCACGAGGGGGGGGGGGTATCTTTACAGTATGCTCTAATGGGAAACAGGCTTCAACACAAACGGTTGTTTACCGCTTGGTCCTAGAGCTCAACCAGTGTCAATTTAATATATTGTTTTTGGATGGTAAAAAGTGCAGGGGTCAGAACTTGAATTTGGAAAGTCCCCCCCCCAAAAAAAAAATTACGTCCATGGTACCAGCGCTAAGACACTTTGAACTTAAGTAAAGACTCACTGGCATATGAATTAGTTGTGCCCACTATTGCCCAAGCTACAGAATTAGCACATGAGCTCATTGATTACACTTCATATTGTTCTATTAGTTTCAGGCAAAGTGCCTATAACAAACTATAATCTGTCGTATTATTTCCCATAAAATAATGCCTAAAATTAGGACTGTACCTGTAGGCTCACTGTCGTTTTCTGGTTATCAGTTGACAAACATTGGCCATTGGGGGAGGGGGGCAACTTCACTCAACTTGCTTAAAGTACTTATTGAGAAGTTTTTCACTAGAAGTAGAAGAGACTGTCAGACTGAGCTGTGACTGGTGAAGACAGTAATTGTGAGCATCAATCTCATTCAGCTGGAATGGTGTGCATGACACTATTATAGCATGTTTAAATGTAAACTATGTAAGAATTGAGTAACAGTGACATCCTGTGGTCACATTTGTTTACTGCTATTTAAATTTCTCTGGTTGCCAAATAGTGATAGGAAACTAAAGTTTATATGTTTTAACAACCATGAAATACTATCTGTTTTCACAATTATGGACTACTGTTAAAAAAAATATATGCTATACCATACCAAGTTTATTTAAATAGCTCATTTTAAAACAGCATGACAGCTGACCAAAGAAGCAAGAACAGTATAAAAAAATCAAACAGTCAGATACAATTGTAAAATCAGCATTCAAAAGCAATGTAATATAATATAGTAATATAAAATGTGCAAATGAATAAAACATTACAATCACAAACCTAACACGTGTATTAACCTGTATGTTTTACATCAGAACATGTTTATTATACAAATAATACAGAAGGACTGATTTCACTTGGAGAATCACAACAAAAATAAAACATTCAGTAATTGTAAAAGCAACTGTGTACGAAAAAGGATGAGCAAAAAACTAAATTACATGAGAAGTCCGTATTTTGCTAATGTGTACTGAGGAAACAAATGAGAAACTAAATCTCCATGTTGGCCTGGAGACCCAAGACTCCCTCGTAGAAGCTGGCACCCCCAGTGACAGAGTTTGGTCTGTGGATGGACGACTGCTTCCCCAGCACGACTATCCACCAATCAGGAGAGGATGGGTGAAGTCTGTATTGTGTCTGGAATGATTGTGCTGGAGATCGTTTTACAACTTTACATCATAAGGATGTTTTAAAGGATTGCCTCACAGCATAATTCATTTGGAAGATTATAAAATAATTTAAATTAGGTTTTCGATCCAGCTCCATGCAACAAAATAATGAGATTAACCTTAATGACTACAAGTGTGACAAGTTATGAATGTTAAAGTGAACTTTTATTTTTAAATCTATATTTAGGTAACATGGCCAGTATTTATATAATAAACAATTTAGACATATTTCATGGTGTAAACTTCACTTACAGCACCTCTTGTGAACTGGCTTTGCTGAAGTCCTATTGTTGATGAAAACCTCCTGGGGTCATCAGGTCATCTAATGGCTCCAAAGCTCCTTTGCCTCCATTAAATATCTCTGCATTTGGTTAATTTTCTCTCTTTCCGTTCAAAGTTTGGTCATCAAACTTCTTCAAAATAGCCACTGTTATTGTACCTGTGACTCACAAGACAGGTTAGAAACATGTTCTTGACATGCTCAGCAACTATGTCACTATTAGGACAGAACATTTGTTCAACATTCCAGCGACACGGCAATGAGAAAAGTAAAAGACAACCCAGCAGTATCAGCCCAGTTGGATACAGATTTGATTAAATAGAAACTATTTGACTCCCATTTCTTTGAAATTTCTTGAATGTGTGTTAATAATATTTTCTATATGTTCAGAAGGCTCTTTCCAGGAAACATCCACACTATCTGAGAGTCACTGGCAGTGGCCTAAGGTTGGGCATGGAGCCTTCACCAACTCACCACCTAATAGGACCTTAATGCTGCCTGCAGAGGAGTTTGATCCACTAGGGGGTCATAGTGTCTGGCAGGTAACAAAAGTGGACTTTACTCTTGCAATTTTATTTCCAGGACTTACAATAGTGACAAATATGAAGCAGTCCTGAAACAAATAGCTCTGCTCTACACATGTAGGTGAACACAACTGAGTGTTCAGTTCTGCCTTTACCTATGAACTAAACAACTCTCAGAAATTAGAACTGTTGTCGTCTTCCTCTGCTTATGCAGGTCCGGGTCACGGGGGCAGCATCCCAACTAGGGAGCTCCCGACCGTCCTCTCCCCGGCCATCTCCACCAGCTCCTCCGGCAGGACCCCAAGGTGTTCCCGGACCTGATTGGACATGTAACCTCTCCAATGTGTCCTGGGTCGACTCGGGGGCCTCCTGCCGGCAGGACATGCCCAAAACACCTCCCCAGGGAGGCGTTCAGGAGGCATCCCGACCAGATGCCCAAACCACCTCAACTGACTCCTTTCGATCCGGAGGAGCAGCAGTTCTACTCCGAGTCCCTCCCAAATGTCCAAGCTCCTCACCGTATCTCTAAGGCTGAGCCCGGCCACCCAACGGAAGAAACTCATTTCGGCCGCTTGTATCCGCAATCTCGTTCTTTTGGTCATTACCCAAAGCTCATGACCATAGGTGAGGATTGGGACGTAGATCGACCCGTAAATCGAGAGCCTGGCTTTCTGGCTCAGCTCGAGACCTCGAGATACTTAAACTCTTCCACTTGAGGTAGGACCTCTCTCCCAATCCGGAGTTGGCAAGCCACCCTTTTCCGGTCGAGAACCATGGTCTCAGATTTGGAAGTGCTGATCCTCATCCCAGCCGCTTCACACTCAGCTGCAACCTACCCAGCAAGAGCTGAAGGTCAGAGCTGGATGAAGCTGGGAGGACCACATCATCTGCAAAAATCAGAGATGAGATTCTCCTGCCACCAAACTCGACACACTCCACACCATGGCTGCGCCTAGAAATTCTGTCCAAAAGGTAATGAACAGAACCGGTGAGAAAGGGCAGCCCTGGTGGAGTCCAACCCTCACTGGGAACAGGTCCGACTTACTACCGGCTATGCGGACCAAACTCACGCTCCTCTGGTAAAGGGACTGAACGGCCCTTAACGGAAAGCCACCCACCCCATACTCCTGGAGCGTCCCCCAGAGGGTGCCCCTGGGGACACGCTCATAAGCCTTCTCCAAATCCACAAAACACATGAGGATTGGTTGGGCAAACTCCCATGCCCCCTCCGTCACCCTTGCAAGGGTACAGAGCTGGTCCACAGTTCCATGGCCAGGACGAAAACTACATTGCTCCTCCTCAATCTGAGATTCAACTATCGATCGGACCCTCCTCTCCAGTACCTTGGAGTAGACCTTTCCAGGGAGGCTGAGGAGTGTGATCCCCCTATAGTTGGAACACACCCTCGAATCACCCTTCTCAAAGATGGGGACCACCACCCCAGTCTGCCACTCCACAGGAACTGCCCCCGATGACCACGCAATGTTGCAGAGACGTGTCAGCCACAACAGCCCTACAACATCCATAGCCTTGAGATACCCAGGACGAATCTCATCCGCCCCCAGGACTCCGCCGCTGTGTAGTTATTTGACTACCTCTGCAACTTCTGCCCCCAAGATTGGACAGTCCATCCCCAGGTCTCCCGGCTCTGGTTCCTCCTCAGAATGCGCGTAGTTGGGATTAAGGAGCTCCTCAAAGTATTCCTTCCACCGTACGACTATAGCCCCAGTTGACGTCAGCAGCTCCTCCTTGAACCGTCACCTTATCGTGGTGGAGGAGTTTGAGTGCCCTAATGATCCTAGGAGCTATGTTGTCTGGGGCACTTTGTGCCCCTGGTAGGGTCTCCCATGACAAATTGGTCTTAGGTGAAGGGTGAGACAAAGAACGGTTAAGAGTATCTTTCATGGATATACAATCAAAGAGTCGGAGTACCCGGCCTCTAGGGTTACCAGGGTCCCACCCTGGAGCCAGGCCTGCGGTTGGGGCCCGTGAGCGAGCGCCTGGTGACCAGGCTTTCGCCCATGGGGCCCAGCTGGTCCCTGCCCAAACCGGATGCATGGGCTCATCCAACTGTGGTCCCACCACCCGCAGGAGGAACGTGAAGGGTCCGGTGCAGTGTGGATTGGGTGGCAGATCGAGGTGGGAGCCTTGGTGGTCCGATCCCCGGACAACGAAACTAGTTTTTGGGACATGGAACGTCACCTCGCTAGCGGGGAAGGAGCAGGAGCTTGTGGCAGAGGTTGAGGGGTACCGGCTAGATATAGTCGGACTCACCTTCACACATAGCATTGGCTCTGGAACCCAAGTCCTTGAGAGGGGTTGGACACTCTCCTTTGCTGGAGTTGCTCCAGGTGAGAGGCGGGGGGCTGGGGTTGGCTTTTTGTTAGCCCCAAGACTCTCTGCCTGTGTGTTGGGGTTTACCCCGGGGGATGAGAGGGTAGCTTCCCTGCGCCTTCGGGTCGGGGAACGGGTCCTGACTGTTGTTTGTGCTTATGGGCCAAATATCAGCTCAGAGTACCCACCCTTTTTAGAGTCCCTGGGAAGAGTGCTAGATACAGGGTATCTGCAGGTTTCTGGGAGCCAAATTTAAGACTTTTTAAGACCTTTGTTAAGGCCACTTTGACCAAATTTAAGCTATTTTTAAAATTAAATTTAAGCGATAATTTCCAGCTATTGCCTGGAACCGGTCGGTGCTAACCACATCGCGAAGGTGGGATTAGCCATCCAGTTACCAATAAACTTCCCCATGGCGCAAGCTCCCACTAGCTTAACCAGCTAATGTGCTCATCTAAAAGTAGCCCCCTTTCACAACCAGCTGAAAGTGTACGGTTCAAAATGTATGGTTCCGCTTACGCCAACATCATACACAAAAAAATCCCTAACACTAACTAGAAATTCACGAAATTTTTATAGAAATAAAAGAATCTTGTTTAATGGGTGTTTGGTAATTTAAGACCTTTGGAAACTGTATTTAAGGATTATTTGTCATTTTTAAGGATTTTTAAGGCCTTAAATTTTGAAAAGCTAACTTTTAGCTTTTTAAGACTTTTTAAGGACCTGCAGATACCCTGTAGATAGTGTTCCATCAGGGGACTCAATTGTCCTGCTGGGGGACTTCAATGCTCACGTGGGCAATGACAGCATGACCTGGAGGGGTGTGATTGTGAGGAACGGCCCGCCTGATCTGAACTCGAGTGGTGTTTTGTTATTGGACTTCTGTGCAAGCTGCAGTTTGGCCATAATGAACACCATGTTCAAACATAAGGATGCCCATCTGTACACTTGGTACCAGGGCAGCCTAGGTCGCAGGTCGATGATAGACTTTGTAGTCGTATCATCTGACCTGCGGTCATATGTTTTTGACACCCGAGTGAAGAGAGGGGCAAAGCTGTCAACTGATCACCACCTGGTGGTGAGTTGGATCATATTGCTGATAGCTAGAAGATCTGCCACCCATCCTATTTTAGATATTCTGGGAACCACCAGTAAACCTGCAGTCTGAGAGCAAAGTGTTCGGTTAGGAACATATCGAACAATCTCATCAATCAATCAATTGATCAGTTCTCATCAGAACTTTAGCTGCAGCATTTTGGACAAGCTGAAGACTTTTAACTACATTCTGTGGACTTCCTGAGAGTAATGAATTACAGTAATTCAGTCTTGATGTAATAAATGCATGAACTAGTTTTTCAGCATCATTCCTGGAAAGGATGCTTCTAATCTTAGCAATATTCCGAAGATGGAAAAAGGAAATTCTACAAACCTGTTTAATGTGGGATTTGAATGACATGTCCTGATCAAAGATAACACCAATGGGCCATTCCCATCTGTACCGGGTTGGCCCGGGCCGGGTAGCCCCAGTCGGCCCCAGCCTGGCCCGGTTGATTCCACACATCCTTGTCTTAAGCCCATGTGGGCTGATTCTACCCACCAATCAGAGGCTTGCTCTAATGGAAGGTGTGAATGGGCTGATTCTACCCACCAATCAGAGGCTTGCTCTAATGGAAGGTGTGAATTGCTGTCAGCAGTGGGTGTGTTGGCCCTGGTCGGCCTGAAGCAGTACCCCTCGGGAAGAGGGCCAAGAATGAGCCTTGGTTGGCCCGGAAAAATACCAGGCCACCCAGATATGTAAACAACCTACGCTACCCGGCCCGGGCCGACCCGGTACAGATGGGAATGGGGCTTAAGGTTCCTTACTTTGCTCTCGGAGACTAATTCAATCCCGTTCAGGTCAGGTGATTGACTAAGCAATTTCCTTTTCTGAATTTCGGGTCAAAAGATGAGAACTTCAGTCTTGTCTTGATTTAAAAGCAAAAAGTTTTGAGTCATCCAATTTTTTGTCTTCAAGACAAGCCTGTAATCTACCCAACCGATTAGGTTCATCAGGGTTAATGGATAAATATAACTGAGTATCGTCAGCATAACAGTGGAAGTTTATCCCATGCTGTCTAATGATTTTACCAACTGGAAGCAAAAGCGTAAAAAGAATTGGTCCAAGCACTGAACCCTGTGGTACTCCACAAGCAACCCTGGAGTATGAAGAAGATTTGTCATGTACATTAAAAACATGAAATCTATCAGACAGGTAGGATTTAAACCTGCCTAGCGCAGTTCCTTTGATCCCTACAACATGTTCAAGTCTTTCTAAAAGAACATTGTGATCAACTGTGTCAAAAGCAGCACTGAGATCTAACAAGACTAGAACAGACACAAGATTCTTATCTGAGGCCATGAGAATATTGTAACTTTCACTAATGTGGTTTCAGTGCTGTGATACTCTCTAAAACAGTAATAATTTACTTCTTTTAGAAACTAATCCTGCCAATTTTCTGCAACTTTGAGCCGGCATCAGGGAGCCTTAGGACATTTAAAAGTGGTCTGACCATGGCTGTAATGTGGCTCAACAGTGTCCTTTAAAGAAAAAGGTTTGCGCATTGGCACCATAAAGAACGTTTCTCTGTGCTGCCACATACTTCTGTTTAATATTTTTTTATTTTTATATTTAACCTTTATTCAAAAAATTTTTGGGACCTTTATTTATCCAGATGAGTCGAATGAGAACTCATTCTCATTTACAACGACAATCTGGCCAAAAGGCAGCAGCAACATAATTAGCTTTGCATAAAAGAAAAACAGGTAAGATAAAAAAAATACAAGACAAAAATAAGATAAAACAATGTGACATAAATACTGTATATGTCCCTACCCCTTTTATACATATGATTCTTTACTTATACTTAGTGTTACTATATCAAATGTAACACATAACCACATTAAAATAACAAATAGTACTAATCACCCAAACAACCAAACCATATGGGAAAAAAAACAAAAAAACAAACAAACAAACAAAACAAAAGCACATCTTTTTACAATTCATACTCAAACACAGATTTATTTCGTATGAGACTCGAAAAGATTCCATTGGCCCAAACTCACTCCTCACATCATGCAGCAAGCTGGGATCTCCAAAATCATCTAATTCTGTCTTATTTTCGTTTAAGTTTAGCAGGTTGTTTTGCAGCCATACTTTAATCTCCCTAAGGCACAATAACAGTTTATCAAAGAATGGTCCTTGGGAGCTCAAAGGTACATAGATTTGTATGTCATTGGTTAAAATGTGGTATGAGATGAAGTGCACACATTTTTTTTTTATCAGTAATGGAAACTGCGTTATGATAAAAGAAGACGGTAATTAATTAGATTACGCATTACTGGAAAAAAAGTATTTTTTTGTAACACCGTTTTTTTAAATGCTGCCATTCTCATCACTGTTTATGAATGACCAAAGGCTCCCTGGCACTGCCTCAGCTTTGCAGCAAAGCAGTGTCATATTTTTTATGAAAAAGGTCGGAGTTACAGGCACATTTTATTAATCCTTCCTTGATTGTTGGCTGGTTAGGAGGAACAACCACTGACTTCTTCTCTTGATCTAAGCCAGAATGGAAACTAGCTCACCCCATGTCCCAGAGTAAAAGGCTTGGAAATAATGTAATGTCTGATTACTAAACAAATCAATGCAATAATTCACAAAATAACTGATAACTAAAATGAGCTAATACATATGTACAATAATACAAAGCTACAACCCATGAAGCATGCAGGCTTTAAACACTACTGGCACATTTCCAACTGAACAGCCTTTGCGTTGTTGTAATTACTTTTCTTGAGAAAAGAGTTTTTACCTCAGGTTCTGAATCCTACAAATAAACTTGACTAAAATGCTTTCTACTAAATCTATTTTTCTTTTTTCTTTTTTTGTTCTCAGGTCATCGTAATTGTCTTTCTAACTGGATCCCTTTCTCTTGTCACTGTTGTTGGCAACATCTTGGTGTTGGTGTCATTTAAAATCAACAAGGCACTGAAAACAGTAAATAACTACTACCTGCTTAGCCTGGCATTTGCTGACTTGACCATTGGGACGCTGTCGATGAACCTGTATACCATTTATATCATCATGGACCAGTGGGCATTGGGGCCAATTGTTTGTGACCTGTGGCTTGCAATAGATTATGTGGCCAGTAATGCCTCGGTCATGAACCTTCTCGTCATCAGCTTTGACAGGTAGTAGAAGATGATATAGTTCTCTCTTTGTGCTGTTAATTCTCAGCAAAATGTATGGCCTTTTTCATATTTATATTTTCCTACATAAATTTTTCCAACTATGATAATGTAAAAATACCATTAAGAAAGACACTATTGTTGACAGTTATTCTAAGTGCAATTACATTTATTGTCTCTTTCTTTTCATGCTTTCATAGGTATTTCTCTGTGACCAGACCTTTGACTTATCGGGCTAAACGTACCACCAAGCGAGCCATGACCATGATTGGATTGGCCTGGTCCATTTCTTTTATTCTTTGGGCCCCAGCTATATTACTTTGGCAGTATATTGTGGGTGAGCGAACAGTTCAGCCCAATGAGTGCTACATCCAGTTCTTGTCCGAACCCATAATTACCTTCTGCACTGCTATTGCTGCGTTCTACTTGCCAGTGACGATCATGGCATTTCTGTTTTGGAAGATCTACCAGGAGACAGAGAAACGAGCTAAAGATGTACAAAGTCTTAAGGGATCTGGCTCAGGCAGCAGCCCAACCCAAGATCAGAACCCAGGTAGTGGTGCTGGAAGAAACAGTGGACAGGGTTCAAATACCAGCAAGAGGATTTCATTAGCAATGCTGCACCAGATAAGCACTCAAAGCTGCAGCAGCTGTGAATTAAACCAGTCCTCCTCCCAGAAGAGAAACAAAAAAAAGGTTGTCTCAGCCGCTGAGATGGGAAACCCATCAAGGTGTGGCGCATTTTGTTTCCAGGTTTCATCTCTTTTGTCTAGTGATCGTGCATCCAAAAGGTCCTGCAACACAAGTACAGTAGGTGATGCAGAACATAGCAGCTGTGAAAACTGTATCAGTGAGGAGGCTGGTGTGTCTGGGGATGGAATTGCTTCAGAGATGGAAGCTGATGAGGTGGACCAATCACAGCCTTCCACAGGTTGGATACAACCCTATCAAGAACACTTTGTAGGATTTTTAAAAAGTCAGTTAAAGTTTGATTTTGTTTTTCTCTGTCTGCTCAGATTGCACTACATCTACAAAGGTGGGAAAAAGCAAGGACAAAGAGCAAACACCAACTATCAGAAGTCTCAGAGGGTCAAATCATGTCTCTTCCTCTTCCTCATCTGCTGCAATGACATCAAGAGATGCTGCACTGGCCAAACGCTTTGCCTCAAAAGCCAAATCAGAAATCAGCAAGCGCAAGAATGAAAAAAAGGCAAATGAGAAGAAGGCAGCACAAACACTTAGTGCCATTCTGTTTGCCTTCATCATGACGTGGTTGCCGTACAATATCATGGTGTTGGTTAACACTTTCTGTCAGGACTGTATCCCTGAAACTCTGTGGGCTCTTGGCTACTGGTTGTGTTATGTTAACAGCACCGTTAACCCCATGTGCTACGCACTTTGTAACAAGACCTTTCGAACAACTTTCAGGGATATTTTAATGTGCAATTTGCATCAGCACAAGAACAAACCTTATCAACAAAGGGAGGCTGTTGCATTCCAAAAGAAAGGCAAAAGGTAGAGTATGATGGCCAGGTTGATTTATTTATAAATCATTACAAGTTTTGCCATCACGGTTGTTCATATCAAGAATGTATTGTCCCACTATTGATCTTTAGCCTGGCCTGCCAGACTCCTCCTCGGTTTAATTCTGCACAGAGAAAGAGTCTGGGAACTCTCCTTTTCAAATAACCCCACCCCGTGAGAATTCTAACCGAGCCAATCAGAGCTGAGTAGCGTACGTCACACACCACAACGCCGAGTTTGTCGCACATGACGACTGAAGCGGTGTTCGCTGCGGCTCTTTCCTCTGTTCTAAATGACTTAGACACTACAAGTAGAAGCGTTAAAAGCCTTTCTTCTAAAGAAAGATGTTTGCGCTGTCGCCAGACTCCATTTTTACTACAGCTAAAAAACTACAGCGTCGTGGCCGTCACACACATCGATGCTCAGTTTCTCATAAACAACAAAGACAGCGGCAGAGTTTGATGCGGCTCTTTCCTCTGTTCTAAATAACTCAAATGTCTTTAAAACCACAAGTAGAAGTGCTAAAAGGATTTCTTCTAAAAAAAAAAAAAAAAGATGTTTTCGCCGTTGCCAGGCGCCTTTTTTACTACAACTAGTAAACTACAGCATCGTGCGGTACATCCGGGATTTCCGTCTTTTTTCTGATTGGTTATTCTTGAGCTGGCTAGTCCCTCCTCTCATGGTGTTCTTTGCGAGAGTTACCAGACTCAGTCTCTGTGCAGAATTAAACAGAGTACAAGTCTGGCAGGCCAGGCTAATTGATCTTATCTCTGCTGATTCAAAGTTTCAGTGTGAGCATTTTTTTTTCCCAGCACTGAAAAAGGCTACATGCTTCTGACATGCCCATTTAAGTTGCTAAAATGAATGCACACGTTTCTGTGGAGGATCTTGATGATAATTTATCTACACAGATCACAGAATTTGTCTCACAACAGATGTCTTACACCCATCTATCTGTTTTGTAAACACTTAAAGATCAACTTTGCTGAGAAACAGTTTTGACTTGTTAAATATGTTCAGTGACTCAGTTTCACAAACGGGCTCAACATAAAAAAAAGTCTTGCACCCCTATTTCCTGCATTTGCTGGTGATAGAAAATAAACGGGGAAACACTCAAATGAGAAAAAGCCACACAGATCTACGTCACACTGATTAGTATTCACGGACTCACCCATCAGTTCTCCTGACGAGGAAGGCTGTTGCCAATTTAGCATCCAAGAAAGAGCAGGGCATGTTCCAGCTAGTAGAAGCTAACTGCTAGCATTAGTAATTCCACAACATGGCAGAATTCTTCCAGGCTCGTGTTATCTGTGAAGAAAAAAAAACAACAACAACAACAATGCAGAGCAAATAGCGTCAGCAGTAGAGTGGAGTTGCTGTTAGCCAATCCGAGGAGATATGTCCAAAAATCTGAAAATCATAATGAGAATTATTCCAAATCCTGCCATTTTCTGCTTCCCTCTCATCTGACTAACTTGAACTTCCTGAAGCAAGAGCCCCAGAGCTTTTTTCCCCCACAGAGATCAACTCACAAGGCATTCATTTATACTACAGACTACTGCAGCGAGATATCCGGCTCTTGCTGGAGCAGTTCACAGCTGAGTAAAGCAGCTGGGATGAGAATCAGCTCCTCTAATGGGCCATTCCCATCTGTACCGGGTCGGCCCGGGCCAGGTAGCCCCAGTCGGCCCCAGCCTGGCCCGGTTGATTCCACACATCCTTGCCTTAAGCCCATGTGGGCTGATTCTACCCACCAATCAGAGGCTTGCTCTAATGGAAGGTGTGAATTTGCTGTCAGCAGTGGGTGTGTTGGCCCTGGTCGGCCTGAAGCAGTACCCCTCGAGAAGAGGGCTGAGAATGAGCCTTGGTTGGCCCGGAAAAATACCAGGCCACCCAGATATGTAAACAACCTACGCTACCCGGCCCGGGCCGACCCGGTACAGATGGGAATGGCCCATAAATCTGAGACCATTGTCTTAAATCAGAAAATGGTAGAATGCCTTCTTCAGGTCAGGGATGAAGCCCTGCCTCAAGTAGAGGAGTTTAAGTATCTCTTGGTCTTGTTCACGAGTGAGGGAAAACTGGAGCATGAGCTCGATAGGCGGATTGGTGCTGCATCTGCAGTGATGTGGGCGTTGTACCGGTCTGTTGTAGTGAGGAGAGAGCTGAGTCAGAAGGTAAAGCTCTTCATTTACCGGTCGATCTACGTTCCTACCCTCACCTATGCTCACGAGCTTTGAGTAGTGACCGAAAGAACGAGATTGCGGATACAAGCGGCCAAAATGAGTTTTCTCCGAAGAGTGGCTGGGCTCTCCCTTAGTGATAGGGTGAGAAGCTCGGTCATCCGGGAGGGGCTCAGAGTAGACCCACTGCTCCTCCACATCGAGAGGAGCCAGTTGAGGTGGTTCGGGCATCTGGTCACGATGTCTCCTGGATGCCTCCCTGGTGAGGATTTCCGGGCTTGTCCAACCGGGAGACAACCTAAAGGAAGACCCAGGACATGCTGGAGGGACTATGACTCTTGGCTGGCCAGGAAACACCTTGGAATTCCCCCGGAGGAGCTGGCCCAGGTGGCTGAGGAGAGGGAAGTCTGGGCCTCCCTGGTTAGACTGTTGGCCCCGTGACCTGACCCCAGATAAGTGGCCGAAAATGGATGGATGGATGGACGGACCACTGCAAATGTATTGAAAAAAGGAGTGAACTTGGTCTTTAACCCTCTGGAGGCAGGCGTTGCAGATTTGCAACATTAAAACCTACCTACCTGGTTACTCCACGTACGTATTTCATGAGCATGTTTAACGTAGAAGTACCCCTGAAGGACTTAGTTGTTCGTCCTTTTGTCAAAACTTAATTTGAGCCTGAGAGGGTTAAAGAAGAGTCATTTGAGATTATCTCTGATCAGCGGGATCTATAAAAACCAGCTGGTGTTATTACAGTCAGTCAGACATGTAAGTCGATCCAGCTCATAGCAACACAAGTACTAAACAGAGGCTGTTGGGAGGGAAGCAGACGGTGCTGAAACAGGATGTGCACAACAGCTGAAGGAATGCACAACAACAACGCTGCAGCACAGCTTAGTTGGTACGTACTGTCCTGTTTTATGGCGTTACTATTTTCAGAAACTCATTCGTCTGTAAACAGCTAGTGTGTGGTGCTTATGACTCTTGGTTATCTTTGTTTTGAAGTTAAAGGAACACCTAAGGTATTTGGTGTTTGTAATCTAAAGACCTCCAGGGTCATGCAAAACTTCACTGAGCCTCTTTCTGTTATCACAACAGACTTTTCAAATCTTGATGCTAATGGCAAATCTGCAGAAACATTCCTTGGGGTGCTTGAATTATTTGATCTTCAACAAAATTTCCAGTCAAACCCACAATCTGTGACGAACTCTTGAATTAATCTTAACAAAATATGTGGGTGTGTCGAACGTTGTTGTTAAGGGTGTGGGTCTACCTGACCATTTCTGTGTTTTTCTGAGATATCCGTTTCACCTGCTACACATCACACCTCATTTGTTCTCAAAAAAGGTATCTGGGTGATCACACTGCATCAGTTTTTATAGAATGTATGAATATGTCAACAAGACCTTCATGTATTCATCAGCCTTTGAATAAATGTTCTTCTGCACTGCATTTGCTCACCCTTTAATTTTGTTTCCTCTTAATTTTTAAATTGTTTTTTCTGTCACGTAGATTTTAATGTTCTTGCTGATGGAAAGCCCATTGAATTGCCTCTGTGTGTGAAATGTGCTATAAAAATAAAGCTCATCAGCTCATAAAGCTGCTGCACAGGTGATTCAGCCACTGAATCAAACGTGTTGGATCAGAGAAACCACTAAAACATGCTGTATACCAGCCCTCGAGGCCCTCAATTGAATAGCCGTTATATACAGGAATACTTTGAAATCGATTCTGTAGATTACTGGTAACCAGTGTCGAGATTTGAGAACAGGAGCGATTGTGGAGGGTTGAGTGGTTTAAAAAAAACAGTTGGAGACGGGTCTACCATTTGACAGCGTGGATCTTCAATGAGTCAAATCTGCTCGTAACATACAAACAGCCTTTTGGACCAAAGACCAAAAGCAAGAGCACAGCTCTTCATTTAAACATGTTTGCTACGAGCACAAGCTGCACGTGCATGCGCAACAGTGTCAACTTTCCAAACTTGATGATGTCCCAATGGTATTACAAGTCTTTGACATTTGGTCGGAATTTTCCACTTCATAACAGATCTTTCCAAAGTTAGCTTTAACTTGGCAGTTGAACTTTAAGAATTAATAGCCCTGTCTAAATACTGTTATTAGAAGCCTGGACCCCTGGCCATAAACTTATCTGAAAAACACTTCTGCAGTGCATTCTAGCTCTGCCTGGAAACAGTCTTCAAAACAAAATTCCCGTGGAGCTGACGGGAACACATGAACTTTCCCATCAACAATCAAGCTTTTAACCCAAAGATTCACAATTCAGCTCTATACTTTTCGTACAGATGACCTCTTGTCCTTTACGGCCACTACACGATGTGTCTGGTTCTCTTGGTTCTTGTTAAGTTCTAGTCATAACCTTAACGTAACCAGTAAAGCTAGGGTCTGAATCCATTATGACACCAAGATTAATAACCTGGGTCCTTGCCTTTATTCCAGTGAGGCATACCGATATCCGATATTAATATCACAGTTATGGCGGATAACTAATATTTACCGATGCTGATATACTGACATTAATGCTTCTTAAATCAGCAGATTTTTTATGGAATGAAAATAATTAAAGCTGAATTTACGTTAATACGTAAACACACCACACACATTTATGCTTCTGAGATGTTTACAATCACTGTCACATGACTAAACAAATACACAGCATCCCTTTCACCCTGTGAAACAGATAAACAAATGGAAATAAGATGGAAAAAATGTTGGTTGTTAATATCGGCCCAGTTTTATTTATCGGACCGATACCAATATGTTAAAAAATGACTAACATGGGCCAATGCTGATACTGATGCCAATATATCGTGCAACCCTACTGTCATGTTCTGTGTCCCCTTGGTCCCCAGCCCCCTCCTGTTTGTCCTCTGTGTTCTCCTCATGTTCCTCCTGGTGTTTTCCAGCTTCTCAGGTCTCTTCAGTCACCCCTCTGTAGTTTTATCTTCTATAGGTTCAGCTTTTCATTTTATTTGTTCCCTTTAGTGTTTGTGTCCTTCCCCACTTGTTAATTAGTCTTCCTTACTCCTCTTGGCATTAGTTGTTTATCTTGACCCTTACTTTCTAGGTCTAGTTATGTAGTGTTTTTATAGGTTATGTTATCTTCCCCTCTGCTTGGTTTTCCCTTCCCATGTAGTTAATTGATTTCACCTGTCACCTGTTCCCCTGATTGCTTTCCACTGTGTTAAAAGCCTGGCTTGTCCTTCAGTGTTTGTTGGGTCATTGTCTTATGTGTTGCGTTGTTCGTTCCCCTCTCGAGTCTCTCCTAGTCCCTGCTCATGTGTGAGCTTAGTTAATTTTGAGTTTAAGCTTTTTTTAGTATTAGAAGAAGAAGAAAGAAAATATAATTTCTATAGCGCCTCTCAAGATAAAAATCACGAGGCGCTTCACAAAAACAAAAAATATAAAAATTGTAAAAATATAAAAAAGCATTTTGAAAATGTTTAAAAATATATTTAAAATGAGCAAGAATAAGCTATTGCGATTTAAAAGAAAAAATGTTAAGAAAGAGAGAGAGTGAACAGGAAAGAGGGAAATCAGTGGATCCTGAGGAAGGTGGAATAGGTGGGGAGAGCAGAATAAAGAGAGAGAGGTGAAGAAGGTCATACAAAAGCCAGCTTGAACAAGTGAGTCTTCAGCTGCTTTTTAAAGGGGTCCACTGAGTCCAGAGTCTGGGACCAAAATATTAGTCTTATTTTGTGCTTTGGTCTTTTCAGCACATCCTCCTTAAATAAAGGACTTGTTTAAACCTCTCCTGCCTTTGAGTCATTCTGGGTACTTCTGCATCCTGGGTCCAACCTCCTCTCCTAAACATGACTTTATTCCTCTGGAGCCAAGCTGAGCAATAACATCCATTCAATCCTTCTGATTTTCAAATACAATAACTTCAGTCTAGTCTTTAACTGGAGGAAGTTTGCCTGCGTCCAATCCTTAACTTGTTCCAAACACTGATACAGTGATTCTAGATGACCAGAGTCACTAGGTGATAGAGCTAGGTAGATCTGGGTGTCATCTGCATAACTATGATAGGTAATATTGTTATTGTGTATGACCTGACCCAGGGGGAGCATGTAGAGATTAAAGAGCAGTGGTCCAAGAATTGAGCCTTGAGGACCCCCACATGTCATGGTGATCAGCTTTGATTTGTTATCACCAATAGAAACAACATAACCCCTGTTTTCAAGATAGAATTGGAACCAACTATGGACTGTGCCTGAAAGTCCCACCCAGGTTATGAGCCTATCAGTATCAACAGCTGCAGTGAGATGGAGCATCATTAGGACAGATGTTTTACCTGAATCTGTATTTAGACGAACATCATTTAATACTTTAATAAGGGCAGTCTCAGTGCTGTGTTGTTGTCTACAGCCTGACTGGAAATTATCTAGCAGGTGTTTGTCTCTAAAAAGTTGTTCAGCTGGATCATGACAGCTTTTTCAATAATGTTCCCATGAAAGGGAGATTAGAGGTTGGCCTGTAGTGATTCATCACTAAGGATCTAGTTTGCTTTTCTTTAGAAGAGGTTTAACAGCAGCAGTTTTCACTGATGTAGGAAAAATACCTGACGTTAAGGAAAAGTTAGCAATTTTCAGCACATCAGCTTTTAAGCAGCTGAAAACATTTTTGAAGAAGTTGGTTGGCAGTTTGTCCAGACAGCAGGTAGATGAGTCGAAGGTCTTGTTCGCCAGTGTTCTAGCACTAATCACACTGAAAGATGGCATTTGAAAGGAAATATAATGTTTGATCACACATGTAATCCTGAATGTTTATAATTAACATCTGTATGTAAATCCCTATGTTCATTCAGTGTTCGTATGTTACTCATGTACCTTTTAAACTGAATGATGCACACAAGTTATGTGCTCTTTGAGCCTGAATGATTCACTTGTGGTTGTTACAGCCTAGCACCGAGTTAGGCCCATATCTGATGTATGCATGCTTACATTGCTAAAGTTTCTGATTTTGCTTGAAGATATTCAATTCAGTTCAAGTTTATTTATATAGCGCCAAACCACGTCAAGAATCATCTCAAGGCACTTCACATAATAAACATTCCAATCTAGATCAGTTCATTAAGCCAATCAGAAAAAAAGTTTCCTATACAAGGAACCCAACAAATTGCATCAAGTCACTAACTAGTGTCAGAGTCTTTACAGCAATCCTCATATCAAGCAAACATTTAGCGACAGTGGAGAGGAAAACTCCCTTTTAACAGGAAGAAACCTTCAGAGAATCCTGGCTCAGAATAAGCAGTCACCCTCCACGACTCACTGGGGATCGAGAAGACAGAGCAGACACACACTCGCACACACAACATATATACCAAGTATTGTGTCTATGGTTACATTGTGATTTCTTAGTAAATATTCTATTTGGTGTGAGATAAACTTTATTGTATATTGTTTATTATAGTGAATCTATAATCAAATGGGTAAACTAGCAGTAGCACATTCAATGTCAAATAAAGTAAATTATGAGGAGAGGGAGAATGTTAGAGAGATAAAAACACCACCCTTCGTCAAACTTTTGACAGTTTTATTGCTTTATGACCTTTTATGACCCTCTCCGCAGACCACCTTATGTCAAGATAGGATTTATAACTCAGTTTTTAAATGAGCTATACCCTTACACGATTATATATAGTATTTATTTATATATATATATATATACTATGTATAGTATTTATATATATACTACAGTAAATCCTCTAATACAGGCCGGTATTCAATTAAAGGCCGGTTCTCCAATTTTGGCCGGTGCAGGAGTCAGCGGAGGTGAATAATGGCCGGTCTCTTATTGTGGCCGGGTGGAATGTGGTAACAAGCAAGTACCACAGGGGGGGCGGTTGTGTCATCGTCTCACTTTTGATTTGCCAGTGATAGACCGCGAGGGTAACTTTAACCATGCGGAGACGAAGAGGAGGCGAAAATTTGATATCAAGTTCAAAGAGAACGTGCTGATTATGCTGCAGAACACTCTGGGGAGCAGTAGCAGGGGTTGCAGGAACTAGTCGACTTCACTATAGTGACTTTTTATGCCTGTCGTCGACTAGTCGCTGTCACGTGATAATGACCGGCAAGATGCAGCCCTCGGAAAAGACAGCAGCCTGCTGTCAGCAGGTGACAAGCTCCTGCGCTCGGGGGGGCAACGCGCTGTGCCAGAGCGTCGGTACTGACACGCGATCGTTCATGTCGGTTCATTTCCTTTAATGTTTTCTGTCTTTTATTTGCACCTGATGTGTTTCGCTGCTGTGGAGCGGGGCACATCACCTTGTCCTCCGACGCACTGATCACTGATGCGGCCGCCAAATAGGGAGCGCTCCGCTGTTTTTGCGGTCGGATCTGCCTCCTGAGCACGGCCACAGTAACAATCAGGTGTTGCCAAATTATTTATCACGCGATCGTTCATTTTCTTCAGTGCGTCGGAGGACAAGGTAACTCATGAGGTGAATATATATGAACCCAGGTAGCAGTTTCTCTTTAGGATTGAGAGGAGATGCAGGAAGATAATAAACAGGCAGGACAGAAAAATAGTCAAATAAAAACAAGTTAGTTTTTGTACCTGCTGGTTGCAACAAACAGACACCATTGAAGGTAATCAGAAGTGAGGAACAGAAAATGAAATAATTATTTTAATGTTTAGAGCAGCAGGAACTCCGAGAGGCTGCAGGCGCATCAGTGAGTTTGCGGCCGCTGCGCAGGGGGAGGGGGGAGAGGGCTGAAGCAGAAACTACCGTTGTTAAAAGAAATGTGTTTAACTTTGAAAATGTGGGCGCAATTTTAATTGTCAAAAACTCCAGCGACCCATTAGTTCATTTTGCTCAAATAGAAATATAGGCCTGCCTCTAATACTGGCCCTCCTTCCAATAAAGGCCCGGAGCTTGATGAGCTTGAGTCAAATACAGGCCCGGGCCTGTATTAGAGGATTTACGGTATATATAGTATTTATAACCCTTTTTGTGTTTGTTTTATGATACATCCAATGTTTGCTGTGTTACCCCCTAGAGCTTTGCGTCAACTTTATGAGCCCCCCATAGCCCCCTCCCCTTTCACCTCTTAAAAAGCTCTGAGCCATTTCAGCACACTTACAGTGCCAGTTTACAATGAAGTTCTCATTCTACACACACACACATAAACCCCCCTCTTTGCTCCACTTTCAGAAAATGCCTAACTCTTTCAAATAAGGAATTTACAATGGTCATCATTGTCATCATCATCGGAAGAGGAAAATCAAGACTTTATTCCATCCACACCTCAGCACAGTGGTGACGAGTGGGAGGGAGCAGCAGAGGCTAATCCTACGTCAGCCCCAGAACTGGAACATACCTCGGTGGCGGCGGACCTGCCACAGGAGAATGAACCGGACACTGCGCCGTTGAGCAGTGATGAAAGCTCAGCCCTGCCTCCAGCTGCACGGAGACCGAGTGAGTTTTCAGAATAAAGTGTTTAATAAAGCATTTATTAACACATTCGCTGCCAGCCCCTTTCTGATCGGTAAAGCCCTTCGCTGCCCAAGTGGTGCTCGCTGCAGAACCACAAAGGCGGAGCTGCACCAGAAGGTGGAGCTGCACCAGAGTCAGCCCCGCCCATTCCATCAGAGTCAGTCCAATTCCTTCCAGTTGTCAGACTTGATAGCATTCTGGGACCAAAGAGGGTGTTATAGCTAAAAAATGCAAGACTGAGGACTTGAGTTGAGAAGTTAATTGAACAGTTTTTGTAAAGGTTCCATATAATTAAAAATCTAACTTTTGGAACTTTTAATCATGTTAAGTTAAAGTTAAAGTCCCATTAGTTGTCACACACACTGGTGTGTGTGCGAAATTTGTTCTCCGCATTTGACCCATCCCCTGGGGGAGCGGTGAGCTGCAGACACAGCCGCGCTCAGGAACCATTTGGTGGTTTAACCCCCCAATCCAACCCCTTAATGCTGAGTGTCAAGCAGGGAGGCACTGGGTCCCATTTTTTCAAAGTCTTTGGTATGACCCGACCAGGAATCGAACCCTCAATCAATCAATCAAAGCTTTATTTATAAAGCGCCTTCCGCAACCCTGTCAGGAAGCCCAAAGCGCTGAACATGGTACAGTTGTAATTATATTGAATAAATCAACAATAAAAGAAATTCAAATTACAAAATACAAAATGGAAATTACAAGATAGATGAAACATTCCGGTAAAATACAAATGTGTGAAACACATTTGGATTGAGTACCCTGATCTCCCAGTCTCAGGGCGGACACTCTACCACTAGGCCACTGAGCTGGTTACACTGTCATTTCCTCATAAGAAACACGCCAAAGCCATTTTTGGCCTCATTCATGCATTTTCCTCCCATCTCAGCTTCAATTTGGTCTCCTCCCCCGAAGCGGGTCTGGTCTTGGTTCTCAAATCTGGATATTCAGTGAATTTTCTGACAAATTATTTCTGAAATGACTTCTACTGAGACACCGCCGATAAACCATACATCCTATCTACACAGACACACTGCGTAGCACAATTACATGTAATGCCACTTCCTTTCTATCAGATGTGGTGGTGTAGTGGTTATGGAGTAAGGTTGACACGCAGAATTGCGCAGGTTTGCCTCCCAGTAGCGGAAATAAAAGGTAGTTTAAAACCCCTTTTCTTCATTTCTAGCTACACTTGCCGGTACTATGTTTACAACAATTTACTGGTATACCGTTTAACATATAATGACTAATGTGTTTATTTATTTATTCGTTTATTTAGCCAGTGTGAGTCCATTTGTGAGCAGAGTTTCAACTAAAATGCCGTTTAGGAACGACCAAATTCAAAGAACTTTTTAGAGACATAAATATTTTGCAGAAAATAAACATTACAACTAAAATATGAACAAATTAAATGTTTCAGCTGGTTAAATAGATTGTCGCAGACCCCACCGAGAATCGAACCAGCATCAGCTGAGGGGAAAGCAAAACTTCATTTGGATGATCTTGCCACTGCACTACCAGAACCCATTTGTTATTCTTACATGCTGTTGTACCTCACTTTTGTAGAGCGGCTGTGGGCAGATGTTCACTAAAAGAAACCTTTTCATTTTGAGATATATTCAGGCTTTGTCATGTAGCAAGTTATATTCATCTTGTTTAATTGGAGCATAGAACATAGCATTAACGACTGTAAACTAGTAACAGCCGTAATTCATGTGGGTCAGGTTAGTTTGCGATAAAGTTGAAAAACAAAAACGGAAGTCAGTGGGCGGGGCTGAGTTTGCGTGAATGGGCGGGGCTGACTCTGGTGCAGCTCCACCTTATGGTGCAGCTCCGCCTTTGTAGGTCTGCAGCGAGCACCCTCTCTCGCTGCCAGCGTTTCTCATAGTTTTTACTGTTTTTTTTAAGAGTCACAGAACGTTGCGCGCTAGGATGATGTCAACACCAAAACAACCAAAACAAAGTGGAGACTCACCTCTTACATCAGGAAGAATCTGCGCGTTTCCAGCGTTTATCTGTTCTTTCATCATCCAATGTCGAATTGTGATCGGCAGAAGCTTTTCCGGTTCGCGCCTCACTTTTTTTACAGCAGCGACCCAAAACGATCTCCTAACACGTGGATTTTCTGCTTCCCGATCGCGTGACGTATGCGGATGAAGATCGGCTTTAGAGCTGAGATGTTTGTTCTTACGGTGTGGGGGCTCGTTCCGATGTCCACACAGTAAAGAAATGCAAATTGGCAGTGAACAGTTGGATTTAAAATGACGACTTTAGTCGTCAATGGCAGTGAATGAGTTAAGGATGATGAACCATTCATACTCTCTATCTCTCCATCCAGTATTACGACGGAGGAGACAACGTAACAGGATGAAGATGGTCTACCTACTTCTGCAGATTGCGTTGGAAGTTGTTTCCATTACTCGTGATGTTCTGAGTCTGTGGGAATGAAAGAGAAGAGGAGCAAAGGATTTTTTTCATCTATCAGGTTTATACGAGTAGATTTGTTTTTTTTCTGATTGTGTCATGAACCATACACCTGATTTCCGTGATCTGCTGCAGGTTTGGTTAGATTTCAATGGACTTTCCGATTTGAGAGAAGTAGATGAATTAGGGCTAAATAATGAGATTTTAGATCCAAATCTGTTGAACCAAACTCCTCCTCATTCTCCTCCACCACCTCCAGATAATCATGATGATAATGATGATGAGACGGTAAAACAAATTCTATTAAATACATCAACGCCATCAAACAATGCCATCAATGAAATTCTGAGGCAGATAGAAGAATCAGACACTGTAAATCCTAGCCAACAACAGCAGGGGGGAGGGAGCATCAATGTCACATCCTCTTCTAACGAGGATTTTAATCAGCGTGAAATTAGAGAAAGCGTCTCTTTTTCAGTTAACGAGGGTATCACAGATCCGGTTGAGTTTTATCTCAATGTTATGGATATATTAAATAGATCTGCACAAAGGGGTACCCATTTGGCTCACGTGAATGATAGGATTCGGTTTGAAATCAGCACCCAAAATGCAAGCCACCACATTAACTTTAACTACGACGGTAAAAATACGATGCAGCATTTGCAGCAATTATTCGATAAATTGGTTCAATTAAACAAAGTGCTGTCATCTGAGAATGATTTTAATTTCAGACTGCAGGTGGTGAATAATCGTTCTGGTGCTGGGAAACGAAAACTTGAGACAATTTTAGATGGTGAATTAGTGGATAAAAAGCGAATCCAACTCATGATTCCGACGGACAGCAAGCAGACCTTATGCTTTGCGCCCAGCATCGCCGGCCTGTTAAACCAGGCCTCGACAAATGCTCAACTATTGGATGTGGCAAAAAATCTCCAGAATCAAGCCGGGCTTTCCGATCAAACCCTCGTTTCATTCAGCGATGTGATTCAATTTGAAAATATTGTTCAAAGGAAAATGGTCACGTTTTTCAGAGCTGACAGGGTGATTTCTAATTTTGAAACAGACTACAGCGATCACTCTAATCCGATGTTCCTTCTGCTGTTGGATCATCACTATTACAGCATAAGAAATATTAAAGGTTTTTTAGACGCTAAATATTTTTGTCCTTTCTGCTTCACCCCATATCAGACTATGAGCGGCCATCATTGTGCATGGTTTTGCCGTGTGTGTGTAACACCTGCTTATGCAAACGATCAGAAACCTCCCTCATCACATGCCCTGATTGTAACAGGATATGCGGAAATTTAATCTGTTTTTAAAAACACAAAACACCTGTTCACAGACCTCAAGTGGGTAGGGCTGTTTTCCCCTGCAATTTGCTTAAAAAATGTATGATTTGTAAATGTGTTTATTACGTGGCGATGGGGAAAAGCAATTCAGGCCACGTTTATCCCAAAATTAATGCACCTTCTGTGCCCAGCCTGAAGCCGTCGGTCATCAGTGCTTCATTCAGCTTGAAAAAAAAGGATGAGAGATTAACGGATAAAGGAATTTATTATGACGGAGAAACACTTCTGGATAAAAATGGCGTGCATACACCGTTTTTGATCTGCGAAAATCCGATTCAGGTGAGACTTGGGATAAATATGGTCTGGATTGCATTCAAGATTTTATTATGCAAATGAGACGGCCTAAATTCAGCAGGTATACATTTATTGCTCACAACGCGAGACAATTTGACTCGTATTAAATCCTGAGAGCCGTGATTCAATTAAAAATTGAACCGGAAAATGCCCTCATGCAGGGGTGCAAAATTCTCGCTTTCACAGAGCCTGCCTATTGTTTGAGATTTATTGATTCCTTAAGTTTTCTCATGATGAAACTGGCCAGCCTTGGGATTTAAAGATTCCACTAAAGGTTATTTTCCTCACCGATTTTCCTCACTTGAACATCTGAATTACGTTGGGGCTTACCCTCCTGTTTCTGATTTTGTCTTTGATCATTTGTCTCCTGAACAGCAAAATACATTTTTACAATAGTACACGGAGGCGAGTAAGCAGCAATTTGATTTTAAGAAGGAAGCGCTGTTTTACTGCAGGAACTATGTGGAAATTTTGTTTAAAGCATGCTCCATTTTCAGAGAACAGTTTTTTACTGAAACGAGCATTGATCCTATAAACTCTGTGACTATCGCCTATGAAGGTGTTTAGATCAAAGTTTCTAAAACCAGACACAATGGCTATTCCGTGTCCTCTAAATTACAGCAGTCAGTGAAAAGATTACTCCAGGGCAAGCATCGTCTAGCTAGAGTGGATCTCCCATTGTCAAAATGTAGAGATTCAGCACGCCTTGCAACCATCAGGTGAGATAAAAATAGGTGAGTTTTTTTCTCGACGGAGTTGCCGTCATTTTGGGCGTTGAGCACGCGTTTGAGTTTTTAGGGTGTTTTTACCATGGCTGTCCCTGCCAGCCGCTACTTGTCCTTTGGGAAAAATCACTTTTGGGGAAATTTATGACAAAGCCGTTGAAAAACTGCAGGCGCTGAAATCAGTCCATCATTTAAAAGTTGATGTGATTTGGGAGCACCAATGGCGTGACATGATTAAAACAAATCCGGAGGTGAGACAGTTTTTAGAGAGATTCAAGCATACAACAGCTCCGCTCTCACCTCGCAAAGCGCTGTTCGGAGGGAGGACATGCGTCGTGCGCCTCAGATATTCGGCGCAGAGTGACGAGGAGATCCATTATGTTGATTTTACCAGCCTCTACCCTTTTGTCAACGCTACAGGACCATATCCCATCAGACATCCTCAAATTTATGTGAACATTTTCAGAGATACTGAAAGTTATTATGGCTTCATTAAGGCAGTGGTTTGTCCTCCCAGAATACTGTTTTTCCCAGTTTTACCATATAAAACAACAAAGGGTAAACTGGTTTTTACGCTCTGCTGCACATGCGCAGAGCAGAATAATCACACAGACTCTTGCGAGCACAACTCAGATGAGCGCTCATTAACAGGTGTTTGGGTTAGCGTCAAATTCAATGACATCATGAAAATGATTGAGGTGTGGGATTTTGAGAAAAGGAGCTCCGATGTGTTTGTGGGTTATATTCACACGTTTGTGAAACACAAACAGCACGCCTCTGGTTTCCTCGATGGTGTGACTGATGATGAGTCAAAAAAGGAAATATGTGCAGGACTATGAAATTCACCAAGGTATGTGTTTTGCCATATCCTTATTTTTGGGTATGCCAAAAATTTAATCAAATCTATTTCAAAATTATCTCTCAATTCATTGTGGGGAAAATTTGGACAGCGAAATGAACTTGTACAAACCACATTTGTTAAAAATCCTGATCAATTTTGACCTTTTGTCTTCAGGCAAATACAAGGTTAAATTTTTCATTTATGCGGTAAAACAGGGTGAGTCTGTTCTGCCCACAGTATAATTTCTGGGAGATCTGACTGATGAACTTCAAGGTGATTCGGGGTAACCCCGTGTGAGAAAATTAAGAAATACAATGCTCTGCTTCAACGTTATCTCACTCTTGCGAGAGTGGGATTACAAGAAGATTTACAGATTGCCGCACCTGTGACCCCCACCAAACAGAGCCCAGCTTCTGGTGCTGCAGCAGCTGTTCATCCTGACCAAGCCCCCACAATGCGGCTCAAAAATTGCAGTTCCACCCTCATCCACTAGGGGCTGGAGTCAGAAGCGAGCAAATCCTCATTGACTCCCATGTTAAAAATACCAATTTCACAGCAGAAATAAACATGTTTACAGCCTGGTACCAAAACATGTTTTAGGTTTAAATGATTTAGTTTACACTCATGACAACTCTGAGGGGGGTGAATTTTTTTTTCTCACTTTTCTGTTTAAGTGTATTAAAAGACTAAAATTCTGTATAATTAATGAGCATCAGACCCACGTGACCACAAAGCTAGCTCCGTGGAAAGGCCTCAGTAGAGCCTCGGTCTGGCCTGGAAACTGCTCCGGGATTTTGAGTCTCTGTGTTTGAGTATTCTTTTTTGGATACTTTTTGTGCAATTGCTGGACAAAATGACTTGCTGTGGCATTAATTGCACTAATAGAGGTCCAAGGAGTCTCCACTTCATTTTTTTTCGGTAAGTAAAATTACATTTATGTATTTTAGGTCACTGCCGTGCTGAGCTTAGATTTTAACATGTACTGTTTAACCTTGAAATTTAAATGTAATAGGGTAAAACCCAGTGCATTTAACACTGGGTTAAGCACTTTAGAAAATGGGTTGAAATATAACATGTTGGTGGAGCTGGGTTCCCACTATCGGCTTGTGGAGCTCAAGAGAGACCGGTGTTTTCCACACGTTTCTCCCCTCCCCGCAGCCCGGTGCATCTGTCTGATCGCGGCTTCTGTTTGCTGCGTGGGCTGACGGCTGGTTCTCCCCGCAGCTCGGCGCATCTCTGTCAGATCGCGGCTTCTGTGTGCTGCGCGGGCTGCCGGCTTGTGGAGCTCCGGGATGGAAACCCACCCGGTTCTCCCCAGCGGCAGCTCTGCACATCTCAGATCGCAGCGGCTGCCGGCTTGTGGAGCTTTCGGAGACCTCTGTGTTCCACCCGGTTTTATCCAGCGGTCAGCCCGGCGTATCTCTGTCTCAGAAGCTCTGGTGTTGTGCACAGTTAACTCCGGTTTTAGCTAGGTTGCTACCTCCGTTAGCTTAGCTCCCACCTCCGCATTAGCTTTGGGTTAGCTTCGGGTTAGCTTGTAGCTAGTTCAACCGGGTGTCATCAGTTGATCCCAGCCTTACAGCCCCACCCTCAGCTCCACCTCTTTTCCCTTTTGTGGAATTGTCTGGGCTTGACGGAACCTGTGACACGGTCAAAATGGCGGTGGTGGCCACCTCCCATTTTAGCACAAAAACTTACTATTGGAGTCTATGGAAACCCATTGACCAATATTTATATGTCGACGATCCTGACGCAGTAATACGAGATGCTGTGCATAATTTACCGGCACGAAGCAGGAAAAATGCAGAGTACCTGCTGAAAATGATACCTTCCAGTTGGACAGCATTGGGTGAGTTTACATATGAAGTGGATGTACAAAAAGATCCATTTTCTAAACATGCTGGAGGAGAAAAATATTCCCTTATCAATGGTGACAAACCCTTTTGCACATCAGCAATTACCCAACTCAGGAGAAAAGGCATGTTACTTCCGGCTGCGCGTGAAAAGAAGAAGCAGTTCCTCACATCGTCTGATCAGGAATTGAGCGGTATTTTAAAGAAGCAAAAGAGGGAGATAAAATTATCTCCTCACTGGACAAACCAAGGACATCATCTTCGCAAACCCGCTTCGGAGAAATGGATCTACTTTTCCCCTTAAATTGTTTTGCTCAAACTTTTTTTTGTTTGTTCAACAAAACGTTTATTCAAAAAAATTTCATTTTCTGTGACATTCTTTAAATATTTTGAGAGAACAGTTCATCTGTGTGAAATACAATTCATTACATTCATTTTTTATACAATTTCTATATTTTTTAACAAAATTATAAACCACGGAATCATTCATCGACACATTTTTATGATACTGAGACAGAATTTGTTTCAGTCAATCAATCAACTTTATATAGCACTTAATCCTACAATACATGCAACTCAAAGTGCTTATCAAATTAATAAGGCCCCACACACCCACATTCCCTCCCATCCCCAGAATTTTAAAAACAGTCTGACAATAAAAACCCCTTCACAACACTCCTCCACTTACACACACACACATACATACAGTACATGCCCCCTTCCCCATGGTAACAAAAAAAAAGATTAGCTGAGATCAGATGAGCCAGACCAGCTAAGGAAACGCCATCAGGGGAGCCATCCACCCCGACAGCAGCAGATCCACAGCAGCAGCCGAGGCACTGACACCGGGCGCCCAGGGCAGGGAGGGCAGAGACCCCCACCACCACCCAGGCACACCTGGAAAGCACCCAGGCCGCCACAGCCGACCACCGCCGCCGGGGCAGAGGGCTCCCACAGAGGAAGCACTGGAAAAAGGTTAAATTAAGGTTAAAATATAAAATCCAAAGAGCTAAAATGAGAATTGTAATATAAAAAGTTATATACTGTAGATATCAAAATAATGTTGATCATAAGTCAAGGTAAAAAACTTTAAAAAGCACGTATAAAGAAAGAATACATTAAATAAATAAAATAAATAGATAAAATAAATAAATAAACCAAGTAATTAATTTAAAAAGTGAGATTTTTCAGTTAAAAGCTAAGCTAAAAAGACGGGTCTTGAACCTGTTTCTAAAAACATGAACGTTCTCAGCAGCCCTGAGGTCCCCTGGCAGCTCGTTCCAGAGGCGAGGACCGTAGTACTGGAAATACGCCTTGCCGTGAATATGCGTCCTAACTTTAGGGATGACAAGGAGATGGCTGCCAGAGGAGCGCAGAGTGGGTTCATACGGTAAAAGCAGTTCTGAAAGATAAGAAGGCTCAAGACCATTAAGACACTTAAAAACTGTTAAAAGTATTTTGAAACCGATCCTGAAACATACAGGGAGCCAATGCAGTGATTCTAAAACTGGAGTAATGTGCTCCCGCCTCCTGGTCTTCGTCAGGACACGTGTTGCTGAGTTTTGTAATAGTTGTAAACCTAAAATCCTCTTTTTAGTAAGACCAGAAAGCAGGACATTGCAGTAGTCTATTCTACTGGTGATAAAAGCACGCATCAGCATCGCCGTATTGGCCCAAGAGAGAATGGGGCGGACTCTGGCGATGTTCTTTAGATGATAAAAACCTGTTTTGGTGATATTTATAATATGATGGATAAAAGTCAGCTCAGAGTCAAAGATGACACCCAGGTTCTTCACTTGTGAAGATGGATTAAGAGACAGCAATTGTAATTTTGGTAAAAGCTTCTCTCTCTGGGCCTCAGGACCGATAACTAAAACTTCAATTTTGTCCTGGTTGAGCTGGAGAAAGTTTTCTGCCATCCAGGATTTGATATCAAAAATGCAATTAAAAAGTGTGTCCATTGGCCGTGTGTCATCAGGAGACACAGAGATGTACAGCTGTGTATCATCAGCGTAACTGTGGAAATTCACCCCGTGTCTCTTGATGACACTGCCCAGAGGGAGCAAATAAAGGTTAAAAAGCACTGGGCCTAAAATTGAACCCTGGGGCACACCACATTCGAGCTGAAACAACTAATCGATTTAATCGATTATAATCGATTATTAAAGTAGTTAACTTTTTTAGTCATCGATTAGTTGTTTAATAATCACATTTTACCACATAAAGTCTATTTTTACCATAATCTGACATCGGTTACAATCTGTTAAATTTGCCGCCAGTGTGTGGCAGTAATGAGCCACTGATCTACCAGTGGAGCCGTAGAAGAAGAAACGAGCCAATAAGTGCCCTCGGTTTTCGTGACGTAACACGTTACTGACGCGCATCTTGCTTTGAGAGATGGCGGAACAAGAAGAAATACGGAAGAAAAATAGAAGCGACAAAACTGAAGAGAAACCCCGGACAAAAACCTCACGAGTATGGGAGCACTTCACTCTAGATGCCATGAAAAGACGGGTGACTTGCAAAATATGCAAAAACCATCTAGCGTGGCACGGAAGCACGATGTCCCTAAGTGAACATTTGAGACGAAAACATGTGGGGGCTGATGCAGCAGAGGAAGAGCCAGCCCGGTAAGTAACAGAAAATAAACAAGCTAAATATACTACACGCAGATCAAATTTGGGACTTAGTGTTTTAGCTGAGTTCGTTATAGTGGATGTTAAACATGTTTTTTTGCCGCGTCAGTCTACGGTGTTCTACTTCTGATTGACTAGATGCAATCGTGAATCTCCTCCGTGTTGTGTATCATGCGCTTGCCAAATTTAGCACGTCTGTTTATATGAATGTTCTCGTTAAGAGAAAAACGGCACAAACCCATAACTATGTTCCTCATTCAAAAAAGGACAAC